TGGACAGATGGAGCAAGGAGAGAGCACCAACGTTTCAGAGTCAGGCCTGGCCAGACCCTGGGCAGATGTCCCCACCATAACAGCTGGGAATACTGCAAGGCACGTGTTCAATACTAAATCATTTCAGTGACGCCAGGGAACATCGAACTGTGTTGTGACACACCTCTGCTGTGGCTGCTTTGTAAGTCATACTAGCATGTGAACACCACCGACAACATTCTGGAAGAAATGGCCAGCGTGGGAAAGCCTGTTTCTCCCCAGTGCCTCCTTGCCTGTTTTCATTCATACCCAAAACCCCACTTTTAAGCCACATACTGTACTGTGCAAGGTCTCATGTACATAACAAGTCTCTCAGGTGGCCATAGCTATTTCCAAAACAGCATCTGTACAGTTTATGACACAGAAGAAAACCTCTCAGGTCACCTACCCTGACCAGTGCTCATCAAGAGCATAATTTAGAAGATTTGAGGAAGTGCAATAAAATAAAAACAAATTTCAAAGCGCTGTCACCTGTGAGGCCTAGTAATGATCAAATTCAGATGGTCTTAGTTGCGACCAAAGAACTGGATCACACGGCAGTTGACAGCCGCTGGGCTACAGCCCGCTGGGGAAACCCTGTCTACACGTGAGGCAACCCTGTGAAAAACACTACATTAGGAGGGGCCACCTAATGGGCCACGGCGCTGGCAGCTTTCCAAGCATGGCCGCCAAGCTTGGGGAGGTCCCATGCTAGTACCACTGTCCTTTGAAAGGCTCCATTTGGCACTTTCTGAATTCTTCTGTCAGACATTAAGGACATTTTATTTGTTTTTTAACATTTTGGCAACATAGAAACTTTGGTCATAGGCACAGTTATTTAAAAACTTTTAAAAAGCATTATTTCTGATTAAAATAATATTTTAGAAAGTGATACATAACAATAACAAGAAAGTAAACATCTTCATATCTAATGTAAGAGCAAAAACCAACATCTCATTTTAAATACTCGGATGCAGTCTCTTACAGGGAAGTATCAGAGCAAAGCACAGCCCGTTACTGTCAGATGCGTGTATCAGGCAGTAGTGTTCTGGAAGGCACAACTTGGAAATTTCATTACCCAGTGGTTTAAAATGTGGAGCTGCAGGTAATGTCAGATGCCCAGGACAGCTAACTTAGCTGGAATCAATGGCAATTCATTAGTGACAACACTATGTCGAGACAGGAAGTCCTCCTACCCACCCATATGTAAATCTGTAAAGGCTCTGTGCAAAATGTGGGTGGGGCTGGCCACACCTCTAGTTTGGAGTGCATATTAAAAAAATAAAGGCACATTTCCTACAAACTGAACTTTACACAAACTACCAAAAATAATCAGTTTAGAAACAACAGTAGG